CATACATATAAATTACAAATATAAATATCTTTTTTTCCAACGTTGGCGGTCACCCATCTTAACATTAAGTCGCGAGGAATGCATCTTGACTTGAAAAGCTACCGAAGAGTCACCTTACCCACTCCCCATTTTTCCCGGGATAAAAAAAAAATGCATTCTTATATTATTTAAAGTTAGGATAAATATGTGAATAAAATGAGAATTCCAACATAATGGCATTATTTTTATTAGAAACAAACAAACGACTATATTTTGAGTAATTTTATATGGCTGAGTAATTTATACTAAAATTAAAACATTCTAATTGTTTTAACTGTTTAAACTTCTTGTTTCTTGGTTTCAAAAAACATTATTCGTCAATGCTAAAAACATTGCAAAAATAAATGGTGACCGGTTACGCAAAAGGCTCAACATTAACAAATTCAACACTCAAGAAACGTCACAAAAACGAGACAAAATCTGAATCCATAGTCTAGATTTAAGAAACTGCATTTGTTCGAAATTCTTCAATTCGTTTTCATTCTTGAGAAATTTAATTTGCTAGAAAAAGAAAAATTGCAAAGATCCTGGTAATAACAGCGAACCGAGTGCCAAAAAAAAAAAATTGCTAAATCCTGATAACAGCAAAGCAAGTGTCCAGAAAAAAAACCATCCCAAAAACGTGAAAAAAATCTGTGAGTGTACAGGCCAGTCGTTGATGGCGGGAGTGCTCGATCCGGATGATCGATAAAATCCGAGCATGTGCAGGCGATCGGCGGCGGCGCACTCGAAAGTCCTCGTCCAGGCACAATGGCCGCGTTGCAGCGGAACTAATTCAGGTCGAGCACGTAGCACACGCGTGTAACGGTGCCTCTTTGCGGGCACAAAACGGCCAACGGAATTGTTCCTCGCGCAGCGCGCGCCTCTTTCCCCGTTTTTCAGCTCCTTACGATCCAATTACCTTCGAGAATCTTCACCGCGGCCCCTCGAGATCGAGGAAACTGCAACTGGCCAATCTCGAGCTCTCCACAGTCACTTTGGTGCACGCTGGCAGGTGGTCCATGTACCGGGTGGCCGTTTTGTCAAGCTGGATCGCTCTTACGAACGGTGAGATCTTTGTGGATCGCAGGGATGAAATATTTTCAAAGATTCTGATGGAATGACTTTTCAACACTTTGAAACCTGAGCAATGTTTCCTTCACTTTTATTTGGACGTCGATATGTGAAAAATTGAAGAGGTATCTGTGTGAGAACGTATAAAAACTTGAATTTTCATGCACAGATTAATGTTAAATTTCACCTTTTCGAGATTGCCATCATGATTCTCATTATTCCCTTGATTTTTTCCAATATCTTTTAACACAAAAGTGTATATCGATTTATAGAAAAATTAAAAGTATAAAAAACTGTCCTAGATAAAATGTCGTCTTGAATGGGTTAAAATGAAAAAAGTGTGGGTGAGTACTTTTCGAGTATTAAAACGAGAGATCCTTGATTACATGAATTATTGCTAATTATTCTAAATATTGGTCACTCCAATGTCAAATTACTCATCTTCGTCAGTTAACAGGTTAAAATATTCAGGTCTGACAGATAATGTGATGGTTTACAATTAGGATACATGATACTAATGTAAAGGCACTCATAAAGAGACATCCTGGATAAATTAAGGAGCTAAATGCTAGGTCTGATTGCAGTCTACCTACAATTTCTTAGATGGTATCATTTGATACCATCAGAAGATACTGATACTGATAAGGCACTAAGATGAAGCTAATCTAGATCTAGATCTAGGTCTAGCTCCAATCTAACGTAACAAAGGACTTTTCAAGAATTTACTTTGTCTGTTATTTAGTAGATACATGTATCCTTGATGAAGGTGTCAAAAGTAACATTACTAGATAAAATTCAATATCTAATTTCGATTTAAATTAGATTTACCATAAATTACATAGATAACATAGATAGGTGTTATTTGCTTTGGATATTACACACTTCACTTAACAGATAAATCTATTGAGCGTTAAAATGAATTGCCATATGTCTGATAACGTAACAGCTTTTTCTCTGAATTTGTTTTGTGTCATCACGTTGACTATATTTCTGCTCTAAAGGATTTACCTTATATTCTACAGAATGTTTTGCATGGAAGAAGAAAAAATAGTTATTCAATGGTTATATGTACAAACGTGTGCAAAATCTACATTAACTTGTGTAGTAGAAAGTATTGGGAGCAAAGAGTGACACTAGCTGTAGAAAAACGACAGGGAAAAAGTTCTGCTTATGCAAAGTGAAACACGGAAAACTTTCTTCCTCTCGGATATGGAACTCTTCCAAACTGAATTCTCATCTACTGATCTCGATAATACGCGAGCTGAATAATAAAGCACAATGCAAGATTCTCGAGCAGTTGAGCTGGTTGAATTCAAGATACATGAAATTTGGTCTTACTTTTCCTAAGAAAAAAAACTATACAAACAATTCAGTTCTTTAATATCTTTTTATGCACATCACTGTCTCAAAATTTCTGTAAATTTAATTTCTTCAAATTTTTTTATAATTTTTGTCAAATTGATCTGTAGCTGTTAAATGAATTAGCAAAATTTTTGCACTACTAAAATCTGATCAGTAACAGAAATTTATTAGACGCTTTAGTTAAAAAGAAAACCTCTGCAAACTTTCTCAAACCTTGTAGAATAAAACCACAGCCGTCACTAATTACATAAATTCACTTGAATATCAGCAAAATATTAAGAAACGAAAATTAAAGTTCTTAAACCTCTGCAAACATAAGCAAACTTTCTCAAACCTTGTAGAATGGAGCCAGAGCCACAAATAACAGCATAAATTCACTGGAGAATCAACAAAATATTTAAAAACGTAAATTGACGTCCATAAACCTCTACAAACATCAACAAACTTTCTCAAACCTCCTAGAATGGAACCAGAGCCACCAATAATTACATAAATTCACTGGAGAATTAACAAAATATTTAAAAACGTAAACTGACGTCGATAAACTTCTACAAACATCAGCAAACTCTCTCAAACCTCGTAGAATGGAACCAGAGCCACCAATAATTACATAAATTCACTGGAGAATTAACAAAATATTTAAAAACGTAAACTGACGTCGATAAACTTCTACAAACATCAACAAACTTTCTCAAACCTCGTAGAATGGAGCCAGAGCCACAAATAACAGCATAAATTCACTGGAGAATCAACAAAATATTTAAAAACGTAAATTGACGTCCATAAACCTCTACAAACATCAACAAACTTTCTCAAACCTCGTAGAATGGAACCAGAGCCACCAATAATTACATAAATTCACTGGAGAATTAACAAAATATTTAAAAACGTAAATTGACGTCGATAAACTTTTACAAACATCAACAAACTTTCTCAAACCTCGTAGAATGGAGCCAGAGCCACAAATAACAGCATAAATTCACTGGAGAATCAACAAAATATTTAAAAACGTAAATTGACGTCCATAAACCTCTACAAACATCAACAAACTTTCTCAAACCTCGTAGAATGGAACCACAGCCATCGATAATTACATAATTTCACTTGAGAATCAACAGAATCTTAAAAAACGTAAATTGACGTCGATAAACTTCTACAAACATCAACAAACTTTCTCAAACCTCGTAGAATGGAACCAGAGCCATCGATAATTACATAATTTCACTTGAGAATCAACAGAATCTTAAAAAACGAAAATTATTATTATCTGCAAACATTAGCAAACTCTCTCAAACTTCATGAAACGACACCAGGACAACCAACAATTGGAATGGAACCACAGCCATCGATAATTACATAATTTCACTTGAGAATCAACAGAATCTTAAAAAAGGAAAATTATTATCTGCAAACATTAGCAAACTCTCTCAAACTTCATGAAACGTCACCAGGACAACCAACAATTTCATCGACCAACATGATAATTGTCATGACATTCGGTGACACAAGTTGATATTCGAATTTCGTCAAGTAGCATGATCGTTGCAGCATAAATGCGAAGAATAGACAAAAGAATGGAAGAATTCAGCAGGTAATAAGTAAAATAGTTTCGTCAGAGCTTGTAATAGCGGTGAACCACCCGAGTGTGGTATTCTGTTTCGCGTGGCGCGTCACGAAAACGTCCACCGAGGTTCCCTCTCTTCGAGGATCGCGGTGGTCCCCGAGGTGAATACGAAATCGGGGAACACGGCCGCCATTATCGTGCGTGCAATTTCTGATGAGCCGTACTCTTTCGTCTTTTGTACCGTAACCACTTGTCGAGGACTCGTCGGGAATTTCACGTGTCGTTTCTGATAGGAATCGGACTGATCGCTAGGAATTTGGTGGACATTGAAAAGAGTTCGACGAGGTTTAGAAATTTAATATCTAAACTGTGGAAATAATTCGATGAATTTTGAAAATTCCAAGGTTTGTCAGAAATTTAACAGACCACGGAAATAATTTTGGCGAACTTTAGAAATTTAATAGATCCTGAAAAATAATTCAGTTGATTTTGAAAATTTGGAGAATTTTAAAAATACGGCAAGTCTTGTAAATAATTTGGTGGATTTTTTAAATTCGTCGAATGTTAGAAACTTGATAAATGTAAATTCTGCAAATTTTTGTCGGCTTATTTCTCTAGCAGAAAAGAAACTCCAAATTAATTGAAAGTCGTTTGAAGTCTCGTTGCTTCTGTTTGTAAGCAGCTAGAAATATAATTGCTTCTGACTGCAAGTTATTCTGATTTATTACCGACTGCTGACTATTAACTGCCAACCATGGTTTCCCACAATGCAGGAATAATTACGTTTTACGATTGTGTGGCTACCATCTTCGTACATAGGTAATGAAATCCGATGTCTAATATTTCCAGGCTTAGAATATCTTAACAACGATGTTAATCGTGTCAATAATAAAATAATAGTATACTTTATTTGTAAAATAAAAGGATTTCTAATCTTTGGAAGAAGTAATTTTACTAACATTTCAGCACAATTTCGCGGGCATCAGAGTATTTTATGCTACAAAGCATAGTTTATACTATAAAATACTTCGTTTAATTTAGAGTAATTTATTGTACATAAGTACTCTACTATATAGAGTATTTTTACAGTATTTCTTTTTATAATATAAAA